AGATTTTCCTCATCATTACCATTTATTTTATGGTTTACAAATCTCTTCATTATAATAAAATAAGTGGTATATCTCTTATATTCATGGTAAAAGTCTAGTTCTTTAAAGATTTTTATCGGTGGGCATTGTCAAGAATGCCATAATATTCATTCTAGTTTATGGACATGTGAGAACTTCATTTAATATATTTTGTTGTTCCTAATATATTAAAATGTGTGTCGTCGGTCCACTCACCCCATCCATATGGTGTTTCCCTCATTGAAAATTAATAATAAGAGAATATGTTCATTATTTTTCAATGATCATAAGTAAATCATCGATTTCCCATTCGTCTGACCTACCAATATGAAGAATTCGAATGAAAAGAAATCGATGGTTCATGTGCTATGATGCGGGCATCGACAGTTTGCCCATGTTGTCCGCGGTGGCCGTGGACAAGACGTCATTGGAGGCTTTGGCCAAGGATGGATTGGGTATCGATGTTATGGTGAGGCCCAAGGACGCCATTAAGTTGGCTGGACTATGTTTGGCATGGCAATCAATGTCCAAGAGGGTGACAACACAGAACAAATGGACGCGGAAGCGGCGGTGAACAGGTTCCCGAAGTCGATTCCCCTGGTGGAGATTCAATTGTATAGATCGGAATTCGAACCGAGATTCTACAAGTTGAAGAATTCGGAGTGCCCCAGCAAGGCGAGCTTTGAGGATTTGTGCGAGCAGATGGACAATGGAGAATTCAGAGATATGGCATTGAGGCACTTCAGCTCGAGAAACGCGGACGAGGAAGCGGAGTCGGGAAACCTGCAGTTGGGAAAGTCCGGAGTGGTGAAGATCCGGAAGTCAAAGGTGGAAATCTCCAATCCTTCCAATATGGAGGAATTCAAGGCAAAAATGATATTCATGGTGAACCACTTCGTATTTGCTCGGGTTAATGACACAAACCTAATGGCGTCCGCCGGCCTGGCCACGATGTCAGCCCCCATCTCTGCCTTTGCCACCTCCATCAAGGACGTCCTGTCCGTGGCAATAGCCGACAACATGGCTATCGACTTGACCCCACTGTTGTACAATGTTTCCTGCATTGCTGCGTCCACGCCACGGGCGTCCAAAAGCCCTTGGAAGTCGGGCTGCAGCTCTGCTATCTTTTCCGCCTGCGTCAAACCAGCCATGGCGCGTCGCTGATACCCCCCCTCCAGGGGGATGTCCAATGAGCACGGTCCCTCCGAGACCCCCTAAGCCTCAATGAGAGGCTTCCCCCACTGCTGGAGCCAGGGCCACCGACTCGACGATCCGCGAACGACCGAACCCGAACCCAAGGTGCCCTCCAGGCCAGCCCATTCCCCCAGCGTCGTTTTCACTCAACATCATTTCAGATGTCCTCGTCCGAAACGTCCTCGCTTGAGGAGGGCTCCGAAGAGGTCGATTGCTCCGCCCCCTCACCACTGGCCAGCGCCTCCGCGATCTTCTCCTTCGGAGTAAAACATGTGCTACACAAACGCTCCCCCTTTTCCGAAGAAATCCTCTCTTGGCCAACCACCACATATTCCCGGTAATGCACCCCAGGAACCCTGTAGCAGCCACCCGTGATGTGGAGCGTACGGCGCTTTGCTCGCCCAACCACCGACAAAATGAAGGTGCCGAGGGGGAACCTGTCGCCAGGCTGAATATCATCCATGCCCTCATCATCCGAGAAGACTTCAGTTGGAGAATCGAGGACGACCAGATCCTCCTGCTTGGGCTCCCGCAATGGTTTCTTCACCACCTGAATTGGACCCGCATCGAGGCCTCCCCACATATTGGTGGTGCAATCTTCGTGGTCTCCAGGCGCGACTCCGACACCGTTTTGAAGTACACCGTCTGCAGCCAAAGGGAGAAGCCGTTGAGAACGCTCTTGTCGTCCACAAAGTCCGTGATCTCGTACTGTGCACGGATCTTTGCTGCCAAGGTGCCCTGTGCCGCAATCACCCCCCTCTTCGTGGTTACGGCATACTCTTCATCCACTCCCGGTGACCACCTGCCCCACCTCCGACGAGTCTCACGAGGAACCTCTGCGATCAAGGCCCAGCTCATGATGGTCACCCGCTTGCTATGCTCGCTCCAGTAGGAGGTGGACTCCGGGATCATGACCCTGTACAAGTTGCCCTCCTCGTTCTTCCGGGTCGAATAGAGCTCCGTCAGCAAGGCCCGCGAGAAACACATCGCGTCCGGGTACCTCATCATGGACTTCCTAAACCCTTGAAGGTTATTCGTCGGCTTGCACATGAGGAAATCCCTGTTGCCCATGCTAATGTCCCAATTCATGCCCATGAAAAGCTCGAGCCCCACTCGGAGCCAGTCGCGAGAAATGAGCCATGCGTCCTTAGAGACGAAGAATTGAACCACTTCGACTCGGCGACCGACCCCGGTTGTTTTCCCACGAACGATATCTCCTTGAAGTCCTACAACCTCATCGAAAAGCAGCGTAGCCGGAGGGACGCCCTCCGCGTCATGCGAGCGGAGGGCTCCCCAAAGTTTGATGAACTTGTACCAGGAGTAAATCCTTTTGAACTTCTGCAGGCTCACATCTAGAACCCCTTGTGCCCATGCTCGCGCAACCTCGAGCGGAATGCGAGCAGCCTTAACCCTTTGATGCGGCGCCCATAAGCTGCCCTTGGAGAACTCCATCAAATAGTTGTGAATGGCCTGAGTCGTAGTGATGCGCTTTTCCGAAGGCACTTCAGAGGTCATTTCCAAGAACGCCACTACCTTAAACAATGCACTTGGCACGCTGCGACCGCAAGGTTCTTCCAAGAGGAGGAACACGTATCCTATGAAATCCATGTAACCCCTCAACCAGGTCATGCCATAGACCGATTCCATGTAGATCTACAGCTTGCGGCCGTACTTAACATGCAGTCGAATGGTAGATGCCCGTCGATCCATCGCATAACATGCCGCCAGATGCCTCATAGCATCCGATTTCTTAGCCATACTCCCAAAGAATCCGGTATCATGCAAAAGTTTCAGGAACTCCTTAATCCACCTCTTACGTTCGGTCTCCTCGACCTATACCCTCTATTGCTCCCCTACGACGTTCCCTTTAAAAAATATTATAATCCTTCTCGACCCAATGCTCCGTCGCCAAAAATAACATCTCTTGCATCTCATCGATAAATATAGTATAGAAGAATACCAATGTTTCCCTCCTCCATCCCAATGACATCAATTAACCCACACAATCAATCAACGCCATAACAAACCGAATCCTAGTCCCTAAACCTCTTTAACCAATTATGTTTGTCGACCTATATCATCGACATTCATAATATAAATAATCAATTCAAATTTAATATATTAATAATAAATAATTTATTTATAAATATTTTACTTAATAAAATATAAATCTAAAAAAACAAAAAAAA